AGCCGGGCTGGGGGCCCCCCTCCCCCCCCCCCCCCGAGTGCACAAATTTTTGTGCACCGGGCCTCTAGTAATATATATAAAAATGTAAGGTGCTATACAGATATAGTCATTATAGAGAAACTGAGCAGGTTTTCAACTAATTGGAAACTCAGCTAGGCTTGCTCCACCAGAGAAACCAAGTACAGACCCAACAATCACGTGACACAAACATCAATGGTGGACTAACACCACACAGGTGGAGCTGAATCCAAAGGTCTCTTCTAGCATTCTGGTTCCCTAAATGCCACTGGTGACAGAAAGGCAGAGAATACTGGGCCAGATGCTTACCTGTCTCCCGGCTCTCCAGGACAAAGTGGCTGTACTGGCTGCCATCGGTCTGCAGTTCATCGTCATGGTTTTCCCATAGACAAGCTGGCACAGATAGGTCATGGCCCAACACCTGCAGCTCTTTGTGGAAATTGTAGTTGGAGCAGTTTTGAAGGAAGCCAAACACCAGCAAGTCTGTAATACGCTCATCCTGGAGGCATGAACCATTGCTGCCCTAAGATGAAAGGGGGTCAGGAAGGCTGAGCTGGCAGAAGGGCTCTGAGTACAGTGGGGCCCCAAATAGCCTCACTAGCCCAAGAGACCTGAATAACCCTGTGGACACAATAGTCCCACAAGAGATCTCAGTGGGCAGAGACCAAGTCGGCAACACCTGTGTGCAGATGCCAAAGAGAAAGCTCCAATTCTGCACAAGTTGGTTATCTACCATTTAGCTGACATCCTGACAATATCTAGCTGGGGCAAGCTTGCTTTTGGGGTAGGAAGCCCAAAGGCTGTTTTAGGAAGTCAAGTAAATATCATCATGTAGAAAGCATCCTTGCTTTTGCCAAGCCCCATGTGTCTTTTACCAAACTGAGCCCAGCCTTAATGGCCATGCATCCAGCAGTTAGAAGCTCATTCTTCTCCATAATGTCCTTTATGGGCCCAGTATGGTATTGTGCAAACAGCAGATTTTCAATAAATACTGGTAGTAGTAACCAGATACCCTCTCCCCTTGAGCAGGCTTGGAGGGATGTGCCTCTTAACCAAAACCCACAGAGAACACAGCTCCTGCTCCAACCCGGAGGGGCTGGTGATGGTGGCCCAGCAGCTCTCCATCCGTGAACAGTACTACAGCAGTAGCTCAGTTCAGCCTCTGTGCTATGGGGGACAGCGTGGATATTTCTGGTGTGCTGACTGCATTTGGGGCAGTGTTCTTGACAAACACAGGTGAGCACTTGTGGGATCAGCAGTCAGGTGTGCTCAGAAAAATCAAAGATCTAGGATGAAAGAGGGAATAATCTGGAAGGCCAGGGATCCAAAGATCTGCCCAGATAAATAAATGCAAAACTAACATGCTGGATGGTATGAGGTCAGTAGAAAATGAAGGTGCAGGTAAAATTTATTTCTATCTTCTAAGTCCTTAGTAGTTTTCTTTTTTAAAAAAATATGTTCTTATTGATTTTTAGAGAGAAAAGGAGGAGAGAGAGAAAAAAAATAAATGTAAGAGAGAAACATTGATCAGCTGCCTCCTGCATGCCCCCTACTGGGGATCAAGCCCTCAACCTGAGCATGTGCTCTGACCAGGAATGGAACCTGCGACCTTTTGGTGCATGGGACAATGCTCAACGAACTGAGCCACACCAACCAGGACAGTCCTTAATATTTTTCATTAGAAAATTCAGAAAACATTTAAAGGACAGTTTTTAGGAGGCAAATAGTTTTCAATAAAATGCATAAAATAAAATGCTTATATATTGTTATTCAGCCTTTAGTTCTCCAAAATTATTCTAAAAAAATGGGGAGCCCAGCTGGCATGGCTCAGTGGTTGAATGTTGACCTATGAACCAGGAGGTCACGGTTTGATTCAGGTCAGGGCACATGTCCGGATTGTGAGCTCGATCCCCAGTAGGGGACATGCAGGAGGCAGCTGATCAATGATTCTCTCTCACCACTGATGTTTCTATCTCTCTCTCCCTCTCCCTTCCTCTCTGAAATCAATAAAGATATCTTTAAAAAGGGGGGTGATTATGTTATACAAAAGCTCTACTGTCAAGCCCTGGCCAGTTTGGCTCAGTGGTTAAAGTATCAGCCCAGGGTTTGATTATCATGGTTGCAGGTTAGATTGCAGGTTTGATTCCCAGCTGTGTGGAAGGCAGCCAGACCATGTGCCTCTCTCATGTCAGTGTTTCTCTCTCTCTCTCTCTCTCTGCCCTCCCTCCCTCCCTTCCACTCTGTCTGAAAATCAATGGAAAAAATACCCTCAGGTCAGGATTAAAAAAAACAAAAACAAAAAAACCTTGCCCTGGCTGGTTTGGCTCAATGGATAGAACATCAGCCTGCGGGCTGAAGGGTCCTGGGTTCAATTCCAGTCAAGGGCACATGCGGTCGCAGCTTGGTCCCCAGTGCGGGGCATGCAGGAGGCAGCCGATCAGTGATTCTCTCTCATCATTAATGTAGAAAGTAGATGAATAAAGAACAATTGATTGGATATGCCGTGATTTTCTCTTCTAAACTCATTCAAAAGTATAGACAAGGCACAGTTTAAGTACCATCCTATTGAAGGCAGGGGGAATAGCCTATACGACCTCTGGTCTCTTCCAAGAACTCTATAGCTTTTATTTTGTGTGTGTGTGTGTGTGTGTGTGTGTGTGTGTGTGCATATTTTTATATGATTTATTTTTTAAAATTTATATTTAATGTTCAAAGTATTACATATGTCCCCAAAACTCTATACCTTTTTAACATATATATATATATATATGTTTTTTATTGATTTCAGAGAGGAAAGGAGAAGGAGAGAGATAGAAACATCAATGCTGAGAGAGAATCATTAGTTGGCTGCCTCCTGCACTCCCCACACTGAGGATTGAGCCCGAAACCCAGGTATGTGCCCTGACCGGGAATTGAACCTATAAATCTGGTTCATAGGTCGATGCTCAACCAGTGAGCCACACTGGCCAGGCACTCTATAGCTTTTAAATGGTCTCAAATCAGAAAGCCTCCTTGACCCTGGCTGAGTAGCTCAGTTGGTTAAGCGTCATCCTGATTCACCATGGTTGTGGGTTCAATCCCCAGTTAGGGCACATACAATAAGCAACCAAGAATGCATAAATAAGTGGAACAACAAATCGATGTTTCTCTCTCTCTTTTCCCCCTTCATCTCTCTCCCTCTCTCTAAAGTCAATCAATCAATCAATCAAAATTTAAAAAATAAAGAAAAAGAAAAAAGAAAGCTTCCTTGAAGCCAGACAGAAGGTATAGGAGGAGGTCTGAAGAGCAGAAGGGAAAAGGAGGAAAGCAGGAGAGGACAGAGGTGAGGGGCTTTCTCTCCTCTGTTTACGGCACCTGTGGACGAAAGGGGCCACATGCTAACCTGACTAGTTCAGGGAAGGCCTGCATGGCGGTTGTACAAACTCAAAGACCTAAAATAACCACAAAAGATGGTCTGAAAACTAAATATTTAACTACAAACAGGTTATGGCCAGTATTTTCCCTGACAAAGATCAATTTAGATCTTTACTGAGCCCATTGTCTTTTTGCCTCTAAGATAACATACCTGTGAAATGTCTGGGTAACTTGTAACTTCCTTTTTTTCTGGACCCCTCAGGGCACAACAAATGACACCAGGACATTCCCGAATTGCTATTGTTATCAAGTTAATTGTCAACTGTTAATTATGTAAAACTATCCTGTACCCATCTGTGTAAAAGAAGCACATGTCCGTCATTTCACTTTTTACCCTATCCCAGAGGTTTCCCCACTTTGCTTTCTCCCACCTCCCTAATCTATCACCAATGAATTTCATGTAACCCATCTACGTCCCTTTCCTTTGATTGCAATGTATAAATACAGATGTAACCTGCCATTCTCTGGAGCATTATCAAAATTCGTTGAGGTTCTGCTTCCTGGCATATGTCAACAGTTTGGCTCAAATAAACTCACAAAAATTCTTTACAGGTTTCAATGGTTTTTTACTTTAACACACCCCAGTCAGCTGGGAATGCAAGGCCCCTTCTACAGGGCTGTCACACAGGTTGGGCTGGTCTTACTGGTCTTAAGCATAAAGAACAAGCTGGTCTCAGCTGCCCTTGCTCCCCAAATCCCTCCTCCAGAAGCATCTGACCTTGGGATCCATGGCACAGGCAGCTGGAGGCTTGACTGGATTCCGGCTCACAGGTGTCCAAGGCAGCAGACTGGAAGGGGACACACAGACATACAGGGTGGGTGCTGGGTCCCTGTAGGGATACCCCTCTGGGATCCTCCTGAAGGAATCAAGAATGCTGTCCTGAGCCCTGGCTCTGAGGCACTTCAGCCCCACAGTGGGCTCCCCTCGCCATCCCACCAGCTGGCCTTGGATGGCCACTTTCCTCCTTGCACAGAAATTAAGCAGCTGCCCAGTGAGTGGACTCTGGAGCTCTCCTCAGTAGAAACTTGCCAAGATGCTGAGGGCGTCCCAGGCTCCACCCTCCAGCCTCAGGGCCCACTCTTCCACCCAGCTCATGATCCTAAGACCTCACTGAGCAAGCAAGGAGGGCAGTCTGATTATGAATACTATTTAAGTAAATACTTATATTAGTGAGTTTCCTACAAGAATAAACTTAGCTAATAAAGCATCATACCTAGAAGTTTTCAGGAAATCCATTTTATTATTACACTAATAGGGCAACTACAACAACTATTCCTTCTAATAACAAAAGTGAAAGGAGTTTTAGGGATAAAAAATAGGCAGGTTTAGGGAGTTTAGGAAAAAAGAGGGTCCAGGGGAGGAATGCATAGATGAGGGCTTGAAGCCTCCAGAAGGCATACATTCACAGAGAGAGAGAGAGAGAGAAAAAAGCATAAGGGGAAAGGGAGACATCCATTCACAGAAGATAAGGAAAAGCCACAGGGTATGAGAGAAAGAGGAAGACATCCCTTCACAGGAGATAGAGAAATGTTACAAGATAAGAGGGAGAGAAAGCGAGGGGAACTACGTGGGGTTTGGGCTTTGAAGCTACAAAAAGAGTGACCAATTGGAAGGCAGCATCAAGAGACAAAGAACTGCAGCCTTTATAAACCTTAGCAAAAAAGAGCTTAGTGGGTTACCCCCTTGGGACCCCCTCCCCACCTGGGAGTCTGTATTTGCTTCCAATAAATTTCCACCCTTTCATCTACCACCTTTTGTCCATGGCTTAATTCTTCAAATCCATCTAGACAAGGACCCGGGAAAGAAATCACCCTTGCATCCTGCTCAGGAAAACAACACAAATCAAAAAGCACCAACCCATCCCCTCAACATACTAGTACAACAGCTCCACATTATCATCACTTTGTTCCACAAAGCATGCTGAGAAGCAGGCAGTGTACAGTGCTGATGTTGACTTAGTAGATGAGGAGATAAGGTAATCTGTTCATATAGAAAGAGTTCCTGTAAAATGTTTATAACAAAAGAGAGAGAATGCATAGTTGATAATTACACAAAAGATTAAAGTTCCATATGGCATATATTCCAACTAAATAAACCATCATAAACAACTGACCAGACAAAAGTCAAATGAAGATTGAATATAAAAGATTATATCCATAAAATGGGATATATATATAGCCATGAAAAAGAACAAGAGATCTGTGAGTGCATCCATATAGAGATGTCCAAACAAACTGAACAAAGTGAGTAGACTCTGGAGCTCTCCTCAGCACAGAGACTTGCCAAGGTGCTGAGAGCATCCCAGGCTCCACCTCCAGCCTCAGGGTCCACTCATTTTAATCCTATTTTAAAATGCATTTGCCTGTGTGTGTGTATTCACACAAAATATTAGGTGACACCAAATGAAAAGATCATTGTGTAGGGCAAAACCTGTCAAATCTGGCAAATTCTTGTGGCTCCTAAATACTCAGGCCGTAAAAAACAAAGACAACCACTTGTCTTCAGTAAAAAAGAGCAAGACTCTATTGCCTACCACACGCACCTAACCAAGCACCATGCAAACCTCAAGGTCACTCAACATTACACCCCATCCATCCCCAGCCCACCACTTAATCACCTATCTGACTTTGAGTATGGCACTCATTTTGAGCTTGTTTAATGCAGGCACTGTGTTTGGGGCTAGAAGAACAATGGTATAAATGACCCACAGGTCCCTGCCCCATTGAAGCTTATTTGCCAACAACAACAACAAAGAATTATAAATACAAACACTATTTTTAAAAGTGTGTGCTGTTATAAGAACCCAACCACTAATGTAGCCATCAAAATTCATAGTGCCTATGAGAGTGGGGAAGGACATGTAATGAGAATAGAGCCACAGTTGTCTAATAATTATTCACCTCACTAACTATGGATAAAACGTTTCCTTATAGACCCTGGGAAACTGGAGGATGAAACAAGACTGTAAAAAGATAAGATGCCTCAATGGGTCCATTACTCAGAAAAGAAATACATTTTTAAAAAAAATACTAGTATATCTTTATTGATTTCAGAGAGGAAGGGAGAGGGAAAGAGAGATAGATAAAATCAATGATGAGAGAAAATCATTGATTGGCTGCCTCCTGCACATCCCCTACTGAGGATCAAGCCCACAACCCAGACATGTGCCCTTGACCGGAATCGAACCTGGGGCCCTTTAGTCTGCAGGCCGACACTCTATCCACTGAGTCAAACCAGCTAAGGCAAGAAATACATTTTGAGAACAGACCAAGGACAGGGAACGCTTTGATTTGGTTGCTGCACCTGGACCCGGACCCTCTCTGGGAGTTTTTCTCAGGAACGCTGACCATGCTCCAGTCCCAGGAATGGCCTGAGCTGTTTGTAACATCATAGAAGATTAGCCACCTGGTTATCAGACTTTGAGCTCCTGAAGGCCGGGCTGCAGACTCTACCCTCCCCTTTCCATGTTACACTTGTAGCTCCCAGCTGCATGTAACTATCTTCTCCCTCGTGTGTATATAACCAGCCAACTGGCAAGGGGAGTCAGAGCAGATTTTTGTGGATGACCTGCTCTCTCCCCTACTGCCCACATTATTGGAATAAATGCTCATATATGATTCAACCCTGTCTCTGCTTAATTGGCTCAACTGGTGACAGGCAGCACGGACCCCTTGGTTGTCTGGTTACTGGTTAAACCTACTGCATGCCAGGAAAAGCTATCCTATATAATAAAGAGGAAAATATGCAAATTAACCCTCACACCCTCAAAAGATGGCTGCCTACGACCAGGCTGGCAGGGGGGTTAGTGAGGGACAACCAAACAACTGAATAGTAGGCTGCATGGGATGACCAGGCCGGCAGGAGGATTAATAAGGGACAATCAAATGACTGAACAGCAGGCTGTGTGGGGCAACCAGGTTGGCAGGGGAGTTAGTGAGGGGCGACCAGGCCAGCAGGGGGGGCGCAGTTGGGGGCAA